ACGCTCCCACAGAGTGGGTCTCCTCAGGGTACCGTCGGCCAGACAGTGCCGGCTGGCGACCCCAAGGGGGAGGGCCTTCTCTGTGGGAGCTCCCACCCTCTGGAATGAACTACCCCCAGAGATCAGGGTGATCCCTGATCTCCCTTCCTTCCGCCACGCCCTTAAGACATGGTTATTCCAGCTTGCGGGACTGGCCTAGAGGAAAACTTTTAGAGGGGGTTTTAATTATAATTTTAATTAGACCAATTATGAATATTTCCCTTTTAATTAACTTTTAAATTTGTAGTTGATATTTTTGTATTTTTGTATTTTTATCCGGTTGTTAGCCGCCCTGAGTCCGCAAGGAGAAGGGCGGGATATAAATTTTAAAAATAAATAAAAAAAAATAAATAAATACCAAAGAATATAATTCAGTAACATATAATATAAATAAAATATGGTATATTTCATATACTATATATATCAAATTCTTCAGATATTGATAGATAGGATTCATTAAACCTCGCCTTTTTAGAACAACTATTGTATTAACACTTATATTTATTTCTCAATCAAAAAAATGTAGAAATAAATGTAATGGAATATGTACTTGAGTTTTAAGAAGGAAATCAATTAAATGGAACCTTATAGAAAGGTTGAATCACCAGAAGGGGAGGAGGGATGTGGGGAAAAAATCATTATAGCAGTTGTGAATGAGGTATCAGATTTGGGAGAGTGATTTTGTCCATTGCACATACAAAACCAAAACAAACAAAGGAAAGGGATAGATTGCATGGTCAGTGCAATATTTCAGTAGGGATGCTTTTGAGTACCAGGTAAAGGCTGAATAATAGAATGTTCTGTTTAACCATTAAACTGTCCTTCTGGTCAGATGTTCTTTCATGTTTAAATGTGGCTTCAAGAGAATGATGTAACACTTGGGGAAAAAGATGCAACCCTGTAAGCCAGCAGTAGAAGATAAGATGGAGAAGATCTCCACAGCCACCATGTATTTCCCCTTAGTGCTCAGATAAGCTGGGATGAAGGACACCCAAATGCTACAAAACACAAGCATACTGAAGGTGATCAGTTTGGCTTCATTGAAAGTATCTGGCAATTTTCGGGCAAAGAAAGCCACAGTGAAACTGATGGTGGCCAGAAGCCCCAAGTAGCCCAGGACAATGTAGAACATGGAATCTGAGCCTTCATTACATTGCACAATAATCTCATCAACCTGTGAATGCATGTCCTGTTCTGGGAAAGGAGGAGACATAATTAACCATACCACACAAATAATTGCTTGAATACATGCACATATGACAATGATGGATCCTGCCAGTCTTTTTCCTAGCCATTTCCTCATCTGGTTTCCTGGCTTAGTGGCCAAAAAGGCCATAACAACTGTAATGGTTTTAGCTAAGACACAGGAAATTGAGATGGAGAAAATCAGGCCAAATAAAGTTTGTCTGAAAAAGCAAGTCATCTCCCGAGGCCAGCCAATAAATAGCAGGGGGCACAAAAAACAAAGCAGGAGACAGAAAAGAAAAATGCATGTGATGTTCCTGTTGTTTGCTTTGACAATGGGGCTTTCCCAGTGCAGAATAAAAGTCACTGCCACTAATATGAGGGTAGCTGAAAAAACAAAAATCAAGAAAGTCAGAACAACTCCCAAGGGTTCACTGTAGGATAAATAGCTGAAACTTTTGGGAAGGCACTGGACATTTTCTGCATTAGAATATCGATCTTCTGGGCATCTCTCACATTGGTCTGCATCTGAAATACATGAAGAAGAACTTGTCATTTCCAAACAGACTGCGGTTTATATAGAGCTAACAGAGAAGTAGCTCCTGATGATGCCATTCACATTCACCATCACACATAAAAAATAAATTTTTTTAACATTTAAGCAAGAATTCTGGGTTACTATTTATGTGAATGAATTCCACTCAATTTCAATATTAGCAGACAAAATCTTAAAAGATGCAATTCTCAACCCTGCAAAGGAGATAAGAATAGAATGAATTTACGCAATTATTTAAAATATCCCTCTTTTTAAAAAATGCTACTGTGGTTAGTCACAGTCCCATTCAACTGCATACCACATGGAGGTTGGGGGGAAATGAAGAAAAAGATAAGTTTGCAAGTTTCCAACTCTCAGCTAATTTTATTTCTTTACTTGCCCATTTCAACTGAAATTCTTCCTTCAGGGCATTTTGTGCAACTGTAGCAACATACATATTTTCCATCCTGAACAACCCTTCTGTACCCCGGGAAGCAACTCTCCACACATCTGGCACAGGGAGGTACCTGAAAAGAAACATCAAGAAGTGCCTACAATGGAAGACTGGAGATTGAAAGTTTTGAATCTTGCTGAAATGGCAAAGATTTCGGCTTATTTGAAGAACCACTAGAATGAACAATTTTTATCAATATGGAGAAGATGGATTGTTTATATTCAAAAAAAGCATAGAGTGGTAGAATATAACTTAGGTTTTTAGATTTTCTTATTTTGTTTACTCTTTCTATCTTTTCATGTAGATTAAGATATTTTGTGGAGTTAGAGATATTAGTATTTGTTTATTTATATATGAATATTATCCTGGGATTAGGTTTGGGAAGTCAGGGGGGGTGGGGGATCTTACTACTTATTGTGTTTATCTATGTTTATGATTGTCTTTTTTTATGATGAAAAATAATAAAATTTCTTTGGAAAAAAAAGAAGAAGTGGAATTCATTCAGAATGTCTACCAATTTCCCACTTTAGTCAGAGAAATTAGTACATTCAGGCAGTATGCAGAATCTTTTGGTGTCAAGGTGTCCCAAGAACATAATGCTAGTGCAGATGTCCCATGTTTGTAGCAAATCATTCTTTCCCCTGGGATGAATTCTGAGTTCAAACATATCCATGTTTGTAGAACTACAGAAAAAAAAACAATAGAGAGCATGGGAATATCTGCAGGTTAATATCCAGCAGTTCGATTCTGACCGGCTCAAGGTTAACTCAGCCTTCCATCCTTCCCTAATTTGCAGTCTTAGGCAGACACAAAGAATTACATTTTGAATGAAACATCATCATTATCTTTTATTTTGTAGGCTTGGAATATCTGTAATGTGACAAGGGGTCCCTGATCTCTGGGAGAATATGAGGGATGGGAGAGGATAAAAGGTAATAAACAATCACAATCACAGAATGTTAACGTCCATCTACTCATATAATATCTTCTTTCTGTGTGGGTGTATTTAGTTGATATGGTTTCTCTGTTACTCTAATCATAAAAAAACTCTGAGCAAATTCTACTGTATATATATTCAGCAATCAATTTAGCAAGGAACATCCATAATGTTCTTTTGCATCATATGTATGGGTCAATATAAAAGGGGAAAATGGGTCAATATAAAAGGGGGAAAATGACATTACCATAGGTGTATACTACAGGCCACCCAACCAAACAGAGGAAAT